AGAGGATATGGTATCAACCGTATACTTCTTCCTTTGTCAATTGCTTCAATTTTCTTTCAAGAACTGTTTCGTCGCTGAAAATTTAAAACAGGCAGGACGTTACGCAGAAAAAACTCTGTTATTTTAACGCCCAAGCTCAACTTGTCTACTGAGGAATACAAAGCCGGGCACCCTCTACATAGCTTTTTAGAAGCGTCGAATTAATTTTCAGAATATTTAGTTTTGATTTTTCTCTGAAGTATTAATTTTACGTGATAAACAGCAAGACATTGGTTCGTAACTTATGAGTGCCCCAGGCCTGGCAGTGCCCGTTAAAAAACAAGACGTGATTTGAAATAAACACACGTCAAAATGCCACCGAACTTATCGATGTCCACAGTTTTCGGTTAATTTTGAAAGAGAAACTTGCCTACAGCTCATGAACATGTTGCGTATAGTTATATTGACGCTTATATGTATATCCATTTTTTTGTCTTTGCTGTAGACAGTTACCAGGAATCTAAACCTGGTAATGAGAAACGCAAAAGCGAGGCAAGCGGTAGTTATCGAGTGACAAAACATCGTAGGAACCGTCACATTCACGGACTAAAAGAAAGTCGCTTATAATTGTTCGGATCCATGAGGCACTTAAAAGAAAATTAAACAACCTAAAACCCTTATTTAGCCGGAACGAGAAGCATTGCATTTCAAAAGAGGTGAAAGAAATGCTCTTGCATTAAAGGACAAATCCAGCAAATCATGCCGACCACAAACAACAATAACCGCAGAAAATGCGTGTCATGACCTCTCAGTATGAAATAAGCGGCAAAAATCACATTTGCTCAGTCAAAACGTTTTCCTTCAGGTGTAATCTACCCGCCAGAGAAAAAAATTCATTAGAACAAGCAGCATTTTGGCATGAGCTAAAAGTCGTGTGTTGCCTACCGACTTCGTTTTACACTTGAATGATTTTTTTCATTTAGTTTTTATTCATGTATATACGTATTTATTTAAGAACTGAAATTTAGCGTTTAATCTTACTTTTTGTATTAATAATAAAATCGTCACGACGATCCGCTAACTCGAGTCTAAGCCATTCCTATTTTTCTTTCGGGATCATTTGCGGTCGACTTTGGGGATCACTTGCGGTCGAGGATCATTTGCGGTCCATTTTGGGGATCATTTGCGGTCTCGGGATCATTTGCGGTTGGGGATCATTTGCGGTACTGTACAGATCTCTCGAGATGTCTGATTTCGACTGATTGAATCTGGACTGAATGAAAGACACCACGTCGACACCACGTGCAGCATGTCATTCTTTGAGTGACACTGATGACATGTGCCTGAAAGAAGCCAGTAACTGCAACTACCCCGACTACTGATACTACGGCCCAGAATAAGGATACTTTATATTATTATTCTTTTGACGTTACCTGAAATCCAAAAATTAGTTCCAATTGCGCCCAAACAGGAAAAGAATCTAAACCTCCGATTCCAAAAGCGCAACGGGGAAAAAGGTCGAAAGGCCCGGTCGAAAGGGTGTCTTATAAAGAGCTCGAAAGAGCGATAATATACAGTAATATGAATCACTCCCTGGGATTCTGTCACGTCATTATAATGTGACCATTGTTTCAAATTGATACCCGATATGTCACAATGACAAGGGATGTTCCTGCGAGTGAAGCACGCGTGAACATGCCTGTTGCGCGTCCTTGCGACATGAGATTTTCACGCAACAGTCGCTAAAGGAAAAGAAGAGGCCCTGGAACCATCACAACAGAGTGGATTCCAGCAACCTGGATTCTGGATTACAATGCTTGGATTCCGGATCCATTAGCTGGATTCCGGATTCCAAAGCCGTGGATTCCGGATTCCACAGACCAAAATTACCTGGATTCCGGATTCCGGATTACCTTACATGGGGCGAAACCCTGCGTTATCTAAACCCAGCTTTGAACAACCCGGCCCTGATGTTGATGTCTTGCTTTTTGTTGTAGCGACACGCGGGATCTTTGCCAACGATCCCGCTCAATCCTGCAAAGAAATCAAGGACTTAGGTACCTCCAATGGCGACGGGGAGTACTGGATTGACCCTGGAAGGACTAATAGTCCTTTTAAGGCATATTGTGACATGACAACTGACGGAGGTATGGTTTAAGTCAAAGCCAGGGTCCGTTTTCTAAGATGAAGTTCAGGAAATTCTTACTACCTTAATAGGTATATAGAAAATTCACATCGATAATTTAGTCCTCACTTGCAACACTAGCTAGGCTTTGTGTGACAATAAGGAATTATTAGATGAGGTTGAGTATCATCTGAGAATTATGCGGGTCGAGAAGGGTTCAGCTTCGGCGAATAACACCCCAAGTAAGAGTATCCGGTTGATGATTTCAATAGTACAGGCTATCGCCAGAAACTATGGACAGCAGTAGAGAAGCCTGAGTACGAGTTAGCCCAGTTGTTTTGGTACTGCTAGAGAATTTTACTGGTTTTGCGAAGAAAAAAAAATACTCAACAGATAGCATCTGCTAATTGAAGAATAACTGTAAGACTAAGCATGCCGTTAAATCTTGAATTTGCCGAGGAACAGACACGCGAGAGCCATTAATTTATCAATTTTTTGGTAAGTGTCAAGTGTTACCGTGGAGAAGTATTTGAATGAATAATAATATGCATTTTTTGCGCCAAGCCTCGTTTTAGTATCAACTTCAGACTAGGAGGCTTAGGAAGTCACGAATTTCTTAGTCCCGGGTTCTTAGTTCTGTACAGTACCGCAAATGATCCCCAAAGTAGAGCGCAAATGATCCTCGACCGTAAATGATCCCCATTGTCGACCGTAAGTGATCCTGTGAAAAGTAGAGGAATCGAATGGATTTTAGGCGTGGATGGTGAAAGTGCTGAGAACTTGCACAACGCTTAGAGCAATGAAATGACTAATCGAACTGTTTCTTTTGGTATTTTTTCCTCCTTTCTTTACGGACATTAAGAAGGAAACGTGTCTTTCATTTTAAAGGCTAGGAATAGGGAAATATGACCACTTTATTTATCACTCTGTAGAGGTTTCCGGTGAATTTCGAAATACACCACCTACAGCTAATGAAAATGTCTCATCTGGTGGTACGGACCTTGTCGGTGCAAACCTGTGCATTCATTTCTAATGTCTTTGCTGCTGGAGACAGAGACAGTCACAAACATACAAAATCAAGGAAAGAGAAACGAAGGAACGATTAAGTGGAAAATTTTGTATATACAAGCAAAGAATTATCCTAATGGGGTTGTACTAGAGTGAGCTTTTATCTGGGGTAGTTTTCAGAGACTTTCGCCGTTACAAAAGTTATCATTTTCTAAAGTTGATACGAGGCCAGGTTTGAGCAATTTCTTATGAAGAGTATTGCATCTAATTGAACTATAGTATGTGAAGTTTAGTTCAGTGAAGCTTTAATGTTAACCAGCAATTAAGCAAGAGCTATTGTTTTACTGATAGCATTTAAGTGTTTCCTTTTGTTTGTTTGCGTTTATTTATGTAATGTTCACGGTTTCTTTGTTTTTCAGTCTTGGCATTTATATTTGTTAAATTTATTCAGTTGAATTTTTAATACGTTTTGTTGCGATATTAAACGTGACACGATGAACCAGTAACTTAAGTCCAGGCCATTCTTGGATTTTCCTCTCGGGATCACTTGCGGTCGACAATGGGGATCACTTGCGGTCCATTTTGGGGATCATTTGCGGTCTGAGGATCGTTTACGGTCGGGGATCAGTTGCGCTACTGTACAGTTCGCCTGAGTTATATTTAACAATGATTAGGCCCACGGTGGGTTTCCGTGGTGTGAATTATCTTGAACTAAACATTACTGCTTGTTTTGGCCCACATGACTGATAAACCAATGATAAACATTTATCGAATTTCAGGGGGATGGCTTCTTGTATCCAACGTTATTTCGCATGGTTCTTCAACGACCCGGTTGCCAGTTAAGACATCGTACCGCGGGGTAAGCAGCAAAGAGATGTTACTCACAAAAAGCGCCATGAAGGAGCTGAGGAAGCACTTGCATTTCACTCAGATAAGATTTCACTGCAAGAAAGGAGGAGGTCGTACATTTCACATCACCACGGCTGCTAACAGCAAAGGTGAAGCTGCCGTGAAATACCTCAGTGGTGAGACAGATGTGATGCCTGCCTCTTGTGGCTCGTTTGTGATCATGATCAATGATAACTCGCGGTTATCAAGAGCCTGCAAAGATTGGGGTTACGAAAACGGTTCTAAAAAAATAGGCAAATGGGGGGGTTTTGATAGAGATCAGAACAGATTATACGACCACACTGCTTTTATATGGGCAACTTACCACTGGCTTCTTGAACCGTCTGGCAGATGGGAGTGCGACGATAATGTGGGAGTGTCACGTGGCGATTTTTGGAAAATCTTCGTGCGATAGCACCTTATAGATTGAAGTCACCATAACGGAAGCCTTTTTTTTTTTTATTTTAAGGGGTCAATTTTAAAAGAAAGCTAACCACATAGGCACTATTCAACACCAGGATCTAAAGTAAAAACAAGCAAGAATTACTGTAATGGTCCTAGTATGAGTGAAAGGGAAATAATATAACACTCAATAGATGGCATCATATAGTATTAGATGAAATAAAAATAAAGAAAGTGGGTGATTCATTAGTACCGGCTTTTTTCTTACCCCCCGGGACCATGAAAATGAGCGATTTAACGTAGATAGCCTGATGCAACAGTCAAACTAGCTCCATACCATTTTTATTATTATTCCTGGTATTTCTGAGGGGCGGTTCTTCATTCCATTTCCCACCGATCGACTGGAAATAAGTGATGTTCCCGATTGCTAAAAGTGCGACAAAAATTCTTTGTAATTGCGCCTCCTGTAAGTACTTACCACTGATCCTCATGCACCAAGGATCAATTAAATTATCGTTTCGAGTTAAGGGACATGTCTAAAGTTCCAATATATTAAACTGGCATGTAAATTGTCTAACGTTCTGAAAAGTTAAAAATACATTTATCTAGGGTGACCAGTGGCACGAACTCCCTAGAGCCACCCTCGGCGAGTGAAAAATAAAATTATGCAAATTAATTTTGGCTCGTTCCTACGCGGCTTCGCCTCTCCCATCTCCGGAGGGGGAGGGGGAAGGGTGGAGGGGGCAACCCAATTACGTTTTATACGTAGAGGCTCCGTTCGAGTTTCAACCCCTTAGCGTTTTTGACCGAAAAGTTACCCTTTTCATATACCTTCTATTGACAAAGCGCACCCCTTTCACATATCTAGCCTAGAACACTGCATTAATTAATTAATTGCTTTTTTACCCACGAAGCACATAGGAGTTGATATGAACTCGTTTAAACGTGTCCGTGCGTTCCAGATCGAATTGGAATTTGGAAGTGTTGGTTTTTGAGGAGAGGGAAAACCGGAGTACCCGGAGAAAAACCTCTCGGAGCAAGGGGGAGAACCAACAACAAACTCAACCCACATATGGCGTCGACGCCGGGATTTGAACCCGGGCCACATTAGTGGGAGGCGAGTGCTCTCACCACTGCGCCACCCTTGAATCCCTTTTGACTGCTGTGAATGCACTGTCTTATTTTAAATATGAATAGATAACTAAGCCAAGAAGTTTTCTTGATTTCTACAAAGCCTTTAAAAACCATTTGTTAGCCCTTTCAGTTCTTTATACACCGAGTAGCAGATTTCCTTTCCCTTCCATGCACCTCAACTCGTCAAATCCCTACCCTTTTATATACCTGAAAAAGGTACCCCTTTCGGGCGGAGCCTCCCAGTACAGCAAATTACAGGGAGTACCCCATCGGATCCCCTCTCACGCGTGCTCTTGATATACTGTGACTCAAAAAGAGAAATAAGAGGCTGCTCTCAGTCTACCAACTCCCATAGGTGACAAATCTATCCGAAACACCAAATTTTGCCACAGGAAGTTCTATCGTTAGAAACCCTTGTAAGCGACCTCTTGTGACCCCTTGCTATCTCTTTACGCGACCACTAGACACCCTGCGTGATCTCTAAGTTCGCTGTATGTACTACGCTAATCGGAGTATACGAAGCACTTCATGTATTTTTGCACGTCATATCGCTTGCTGTGCGTGATCGGTAGTGAAATGATTTACCCGCGAACTTTAAAATTACATGACACCACTCTAACCGACCACTAAGGTGGCGTCCTTACAAATAACCACGCAGTATGACACAGAACCAAGAATAGATTGAAAATAATTTTCATGGGAAGAGGGTCATGTAAAAATTCGCTCTCTTAGATCATTCTCTCTTGGACCGGTCTAAAAACGAACTCAAAGCGGTCTGACTTCGTGTCGGGCGCTGACCCGACAGGAGTTATTCTCTTACCGGTCTGAGACTGTACCGTTGTCATGTAAAACGGAAACGAATCTCAGACCGGATCCATAAATAGCATGTTGCTTCCTATGGCTCCATCATTTTTACTTTTTCTTAGCAAAATAAGAACACCGCTATGAATTATAACTGTAAACAAGACTTGGAAGTAGCTTCAATTGAATATATGCTTTCGTTAATGCTAGGGATTGCACCATTTTGAGATGCTGTACATTTAACATACCACCAGATGAGCGTTAGATAAAGTTTACAATTTCTGGGAGCAGTAAAATCTGCGGTTCTCTACCAGTCAGGTGACCAGTTAGGACAGTTAGTGAATAATATGTTAAATAATCGACTTAAGAAAGTTATATAGCTACAAGAATCTCCTGTTTTTGAGTTTGTACCGGTCTCATGTAATCAACGAAGCGTTTCGTCCCGCTCTCATGTAAACGACTGCAAAAATTACAAATTCGTACGGGCCTGAGTTCGCCCCGGTCTCATGTAATTACCCCCTAAATTCGCATTTCGGGTGGTAGCCTTATGGGATAGTTCGACTGTAATTGCACACTTCTCATTGATAGCATTACCGTGTTATAAAAAGGAAAGAGTGTTGTAGTGCTTATTGATTCATGTCGAACCACAAGTGGATCAAGAGGAATTATGTCTGACCTTGATTGCAGAAGTTTTCGTGGTGCGACTGTGGCTGTGCAATCCTTGTGTCATGCGATTGTGTTTGAATTAAGTCCGAGTAGTCGTCGAACGGGACGAACTCAGACCAGTACGAGTTCGTATCGGTCTCCATACATTTCTTTTCATGCGTTCACATGGAACCGGCCTAAAAATGAACTCAGACCGGTTTAACTTCGTCTCGGTCGATGACCCAACACGAGTTACTTTCCTACCGGTCTGAGACCGTATCGTTCTCATGTAAATCTCGGGAAACGAATCTTAGACCGGGTCCATAAATAGCATAGCTTCAATTGAATATTCCGGTGCTTGGATTAATGTGAGGGATTGCACCATTTTGAGTTGCTGTGCAGCAATTAGTATTAACAGGCCACCAGATGAGCGTTAGATAAAGCTTATAACTTTCTTGGAGCAGTACAACTCTACGTTTGTGTACTCACTGTTTACTTGCGTAAATTGCTTACCAGTTAGGAACGTCAGTAATAATATGTTAAATAATCGACTTGTGAAAGTTATATAGCTCCAAGAATCTCCTGTTTTATAGTTTGTACCGGTCTCATGTAATCGACCAAGCATTTTGTCCCGGTCTCATGTAAACGGCTGCACAAATTACAAATTTGTACCGGTCTGAGTTCGTCCCGGTGTTATGGTATCACACCCATATTTTAAGAGAGACTTAAAGAAGTAAAGGGAAACGTAAAACGACCAAAGCTACAAAAGGAAGCAGACAATGGAGAAGACGAGACATTGTTGAGTTGCGAAAGCAACTTATTAAATTTTAACGGGGGATTTTCTTCTGGATCACTACCACTGGATGATCGCTTGACTAATCACTAATCAAAATTGGGTTATTGCAGTGCTGATTTCATACTTCATGTACATTTTCGAACTGTTAGAAACCTCTTGCGTTTGATTCGACCAGGTTGTGTTCAAACAGGAAGATCCGTATTGCTTAAAAAAGATAATAAAAAAATTCATAATGAAAGTAATGCTCTCTGGTCCAACAGAAATTTCAGTGTTTCAATTATTTTGTATCCATTTGTGTACACAATCAAAAGCTGCTTTTGATTCTAATATCTCTTCTGACAGAAACACTCAGAGGTTTGACGAGTCCCTTCTTTCCAAGCGCTCGAAAACACGAAATGAGGATTGCGGCAAGGTCACGAATAGAACGTTGATATTTTAATGATCAAAAGGGACAGTGAAGAAGACACACGCAAGAAGACAAGATTTTGGCAAGGTTAATGCGGCTTTAACACATATATCACGAGAATAAAAGTGAAGCAGAACCAGTCCTTCAACAGGCTAAGGTGAAGCAGGGAGACAAGACACTCGGCAGGCAAAACTATTTTCTGTGAACTTAAACTTATTCTTAAAGTGCTTTAAAGCCAAGTGGTTGGGAACTGGTGGTTTCGTGCCTGGTCGGATATGAAATGTGTATGGCATTCATGCCCGTGGCATTATATGTATTCATTTGACCGGTGTTCAGGTGGTTGGATAGAGTTTTTCAGAGACAATACCTCCTAAGTTTGAATACACACTAGGTCGTGATTGATAAAGATTGGAAAAATGATCATCAAAGCTGTATTAGATAAAGATGTATATTTCCTATGATCAGTGTTACAATGACGTCAGAGTTGTCATAGTAACGAAATGACGTCATTACGTATTCTACTTGCACATGAGATCCCTTGATTTGCGGCCTATTTCTTGGTATTTCTTTTCGCAACTGCAGAAGTTGCGTCTTTTACTGCGATGATCTTATCACATTTATTTCTTCATCCCGCAGTTTCAATATATGAAATTCATGAACCAATTTAATGACCAGCTCCCAGTTGTCTTGCCATTTCAATTGGTTAGAACCGTGCACCGGTATCTCAAAGGTCAAGGTTCAATTCCTGGCAAGTCTGGCAGGTTTTGACTGCGATAATCTTCTCTACATTTATATGTAACAACAACCACAATAGCCTGCGTAGCAAGCGTTTCCTCGCGAGGTTCATCTAGAAAACTGGGACAAGAGCAAAAAAAAATAATAATAAATGACGGGGGAGGGGGAGGGGAATGAAGGAACCGCTTGCCCGCAAACCCCACGATTTTGAAAAACTGCGTTCGCCCACGAACGCAGCTTCTGATTGGCGCGGTGCGGGTAGTGTTGATTACTTATCATTGGAAACATCAATCAAACCAGGTATGCTTTGTTTTCGCGTTTTCGTGCGTCACAGATCTAGTCTCATCTGATTTGTGGTCGCAGATTACAAATGCTTTGGACTGATATTTATTTGAATCGTGTTTGTGCGAAGGTTTATGAGATCAGAGTCTTCAAAGTATAATTGGAGATCGAGCAGTGGAGACTAGGGAAGGCCAATTTATTGAGAATGACGTCG